TCCTCCAACCGCCCCTGCCCAAGTCCCGTCCCTGTTCTCATTCGGGGTCTCCACGCCCCAGGGTCCTCTTCTAGGGTCCCTCCATACCTGTCACCTCCAAGTTCAGCTTATTCTCTTTGTAGTTATATTTTAAATTTCTTCTCTCCATGCGGAAGAAATAGCGTCCCGTGTCCTCCATTCTGGCATCTTCTATTTTCAGGGAGCAGACATTCTTCTGGACGTCCCCAAGGAGGTGGAATCGGCCCCGGGTCTCTTGCTTCGTAGTTCTGTCTGGGTTGTTTGTGGCCACAGGCTCACCTTGGTTTACGTCCTCCCCATCCTGGAACCAGTAGACGTAGAGTGGATCATAGTAATAGTAATGCCAGGAGCCCGTCGGGTAAGAGAAGGAGCAGTTCACCAGGACGCACAGCCCCTCCTGCACCGTCACCGACTTCTGCACTCGCAGCTCAAACCTTGCCTTCTGCTGCAGGGACCCTGGGGGGACACAGACGCTCAGCTGCAGCTCCAGCCGCCTTCCCACCCCATGCCTGTTCCTCCTCCCTCAGCTTACTCACCCCCCCACAGCAGGGCCAGCAGCAGCAGGGGCAGCATGTCTGCCTCCACCAGGGCCCCAGCTGGGTCCCAGGCCCCTCTGTCAGGGAAGGAAACGCCCCAAATGTGGCATGGGGCTGAGGAAGCCCGGACAGGAAGCCAGTGGGTGAGTGAGAGCTGTGGCCGTGCCCGGAAGGGGAACTTGGGGTGCTGTTAGGGTGACGTGGGGGCTGGGAAGCCATCCTGCTCCCACCCTCACTGGACACTGCAGGTGGAGATCCGGAGGTCCCCAAGAGATGGGAGGCTTGTCCAGGTGGGGATCTGGAGGTAATCACCCCTCAAATGATGTTTCAGTCAAGAGTGAGATCCCCAAGGGACTGAATACAGAAAGAAAAGAGAGACGAGGGCGTGTCCTGGAGATGAGGTGAGATGTCAGAACCACCCTCCAGCTGAAAACCATGAACCGTCTGGATACGTATAATTTTACTTTGCTTTAAAATGTTCAAAGTGACCAGGCATGGTAGCTCATGCCTGTAATCCCAGCACTTTGGGAGGCTGAGGTGGGAGGATTGTTTGAGCCCAGGAGTCTGAGACCAGCCTGGGCAACATAGCAAGACCCCATCACTACCAAAAATAAAAACTGTTAGTCAGTGTGGTGGCACACCTACAGTCTCGGCTCCTCAGGGCACTGAAATAGGAAGATTCCCTGAGCCCAGGAGTTTGAGGCTGCTCTGAGCCATGATCATGCCAGTCTGGGCAACAGAGTGAAACCCTGTCTTTAAAAAATAAAGTTCAAAAGTGCTGGAAAAACAAATTTGTTTGGACCCAAATTTAGTGGGGAGTCAGAACATGAGAGAGCCGAAGCACTCTTACGTTAAGGGGAGTTTTGGGACACGGCACAGTCCAATTTGGGTCTTGATGGCCCTTAGGGTCTTGTGGGACAGCAGTGAGACACAAGCCCCTTCTAAAGCCTTGCCCTGTTAAGGAGCTCCAAAGCAAATTTGCCACCACGAGGCTGATGAAGCTCAGTCTTCAGTGCCCTCCCTTGCAGGGTCCACTTTTCAGATCCCCAGGAGGGGCCCAAGCAATGTGTGGAAATAACCTTCATTGTTACTGCTCTTTTATAAAAGAAATTTCCTAATAGTTCCCAAAAATGAACAATGATCTTAAAAAGTTAGACATTCCTATTAATGTGTGTGGGAAGTAAAAAAGTTCCTCTTTTAAGTTTCCTTTCTTGTTAAAGAATAAATCATAAGTGTGCTAATAACTCTTTGTGAAGCCCCATCCTATGTAGCTGTTGGACATGCCATGCTTACAGGCACATAGTACATTCTATGTCCTTGTACTTTAACCAAGATATCTGTGCTGGACGTGCTCACAGGCATGTCCCAGCTCTCCGTTGCTTTTACCTGTTTAGAAAAGTTTTAAGTTGTTATTCAATTGGGTTTTAGTTTAGATTGTGAAGTCTGTCTCCAATCAATGGAGATCAGACACAGCAGTAAGGACGACCCCAAATGCGTAAGGGATAAATTTGTCTGCTTTTCCTTTGTTGATTGTACTCTCGTGGCAAGATGGCTAGGACGGTCCCCTTCCTGCAGTCTAGGAAGTAAAAATTGCGTTGCTGAAAGATCCTTTGTCTCACTGCTAATTTTTCTTTATGACACCGAATATCTGTTTCCAACGTGTTGTGAGAGTAAAGACAGTTTCTTAAACTATCAATGACCAAAACAAATTTCAACCAATCATGCCAGAAGAAATACCGACTTCTCTTTCTATTCTATCTATACAAATTATATCATAAAATTATTCTCCAATATTGGCTGGGTGCAGTGGCTCACACCTGTAATCCCAGCACTTTGGGAGGCTGAGGCGGGGGGGATCACCTGAGATCAGAATTCGAGACCAGCCTGACCAACATGGTGAAACCCCTATGTCTACTAAAAGTACAAACATTAGCCAGGCATGGTGGTGGGCACCTGTAGTCCCAGCTACTCCAGAGGCTGAGGCAGGAGAATCACTTGAACTCAGGAAGCAGAGGTTGAGGTAAGTCGAGATCGTACCATTGCACTTCAGCCTGGGCAACAAGAGCAAAACTCCGTCTCAAAAAAAAAAAAAAATACAAAATTCTTTTTTTTTTTTTTTTTTGAGACAAGGTCTCACTGTGTTGCCCAGGCTGGAGTGCAGTGGCGTGACTCTGACTCACTGCAAACTTCCCTTCCCAACAATCGGTTCTCCTGTCTCAGCCTCCTAAGTAGCTGGGATTACAGGCGCATGCCACCATGCCAGGCTTATTTTTCTATTTTTAGCAGAGTCGGGGGTTTCACCATGCTGGCTAGGCTGGTCTCAACCTCCTGACCTCAAGTGACCCACCTGTCTTGCCTCCCAAAGTGCTGGGATTACAGGTGTGAGCCACTGTGCCTGGCCTTCATACCTGTCTCTGTCATCCTGAATAGTCCATGTTAACAGAGGTCAGAATAAGTTTTTCTTTTTTCCTTTTTTTTTAATTGAAAATTTGAATTTCTTTTCTTTTTTTTTTTTTTTTGAGATAGAGTCTCACTTCTTCACCAGGCGCCCAGCCTGGAGTGCAATGGCAGGATCTCAGCTCACCGCAACCTCCGCCTCCTGGGTTCAAGCAATTCTCCTGCCTCAGCCTTCCGAGTAGCTGGGACTACAGGCGTGTGGCACCATGCCCAGCTAATTTTTAGTGGGGACGGGGTTTCACCATGTTGGCCAGGATGGTCTCGATGTCTTGCCCTCGTGATCCACCCGCCTTGGCTTCCCAAAGGGCTGGGATTACAGGCGTGGGCCGCCACGCCCGGCCCTGAATTTCATTTCTCATTTGAACTGTGAAAGTAGTACATCGTACGGCTAGTAGGATCTAAAGATAGAGACTCGATTATGTAGGAACATAACATTTTTTATCTTTATATTAAAATCTTTATATTAAATTCCCTCCGCTAAAATCTGTATATGGCTTCTGTTTTTACATCAGCCCTTAACTTATTAAATCTCAAGAGATGAATAAATGAGCATTGGGTGATTTCAAATCCCTTTATGATATAATTCATAACCAACTAGAAATTCTCTTTAGAGAATTTCCCTAATAAGATAATGGGTATCTTCAGCAAACATCACATACCTAATGAAATAGCTTCAGGTGCTAACATAATAAGGCAATAAAAATAAGTAAATGGTACAGCAATTACAATGAAATTTTAAGAGAGGTCTTCATCAATGACATGATTGCATATATAGAATAATCCAAATGTATATACAGATACATTTGAAGCCTTAACAAAATATTTGCAAGACTGCCATAGATTAATCAAATTACAAAATCAGTTGTATTTCCACATCACAGTAGTAAACAAAAATGGAATTTTGTAAAATACACCATTGACAATAGCTTCAAAATTAGTATATAATTTATCAATATCAAAAATTATGCTATAATTATGATAACATTTTTGAATATATTGAATATGCCTAACTCTTCTATATGTAGCTAACAAAAATACATGTCATCTCTATGGGGGAAATTATAAATCTGCACTGAAGGACATTAAAGATGTAAATTAATCAAAAAAGAGGACATGTTGATGAGTTTGAGAACAATATTGTATAAATGTCAGTTTTACCCAACAATCTACAGTGTCAGAGAAACATGTCATACAATCCTCTGGGTGATCTTTGTGCAACTTGATAACTCTATTGTAAAATTCATACTGAAGTAGAAATGTTCGAGTATGGTCAAGGCAACCATGAAGAAAAATGAACAGCTCTGTAAGATATCAAGATGTATCATAACATGATAGAAAATATGACCATATCAGGCTGGGCACCGTGGCTCATGTCTGTAATCCCAGCACTTTAGGAGGCCAAGGCAGGCGGATCACTTAAGGTCAGGAGTTCAAGACCAACCTGACCAACATGCTGAAACCCTGTCTCTGCTAATAAAAAATAACAAAAATTAGCTGGGCATGGTGGCATGTGCCTGCAATCCCAGCTGCTTGGGAGGCTGAGGCACGAGAATTGCTTGAACCCAGGAGGTGGAGGTTGCAGTGAGCTGAGATTGTGCCACTGCATTTCATCTAGGGTGACAGAGCGAGACTGTCTCCAATTTTTAAAAATGTTGAAAAACTACACCCATTTCAGTGGTTTACACCTGAATATCAGCACTTTGGGAGACCAAGGCAGGAGGATTACTTGAGCCCAGAAATTCAAGACCAGCCTGGGCAACATGGTGAAACCCTATCTGTACAAAAAACACAAGAATTAGCTGGGCAAGGTGGCTCGTGCTTGTAGTCTCGGCTACTTAGGAGACTGAGGTGGGAGATACATTTGAGCCCAGGAGGTGGAGATTGCAGTGAGCCAAGATTTCGCCACTGCACTCCATCCAGGGTGACTGAGTGAGACCAGACTCTCAAAAAAAAAAAAAGAAAAAAAAAATGACCATTATGCACTGACCAAGTTAAAAAAAAAAAAAAAAATTGAGCACCTAGAAATAGACCTCAACAGCAGAAAACATTATGCGTGATAGAGGAAGTGGCAAACGATAAATATTTCTTTTTATTTTTGTTTTCGTTTATTTAAATTTTTTTGTGTGTCAGTGTCTCTGTCACCCTGGATGGAGTACAATCGTGTGATCAGGGCTCACCACAGCCTCTATTTCTCTGGGCTCGGGTGATCCTCCCATCTCAGCCTCCCGAATAGCTGAGACTACAGGGATGCACCATCATGCTTGGCTAATTTTTAAATTTTTTGTAGAGACAGGGTCTTACTATGTTGCCCAGGCTGGTCTCAAACTCTGGGCTCGAGCAATCCTCTCACCTCAGCCTCCCAAAAATGCTGAGCCACTGTGTCTGGCCAACTTTTCAAAAACGTATATGGGAAAACTTAATGCAATCAAGTTTGCAGTAAGTTTGCAAAGAAATTTCACCCCCAGCTCATGCATCAAAACCAGGTACAGGTAGCTTGAAGACCTAAATATGACAGAGAAAACCATAGAGCTGTTGGAAGATAATACAGCAGGAAACCACCACGAACTTGAGGAAGGAAGGGATTTCTGAGCAAAACATAAGTAACACTTTTTATAACGAGAAAGATTGAAACCTTGGCCCCTGGTCCAGAACCTGAGCACTACTTCTCAAAGGTCTTGTCTCCCCAGGACCT